GTTTGCGAAGGAACTTCTGGAACTCTTTAAATGCGGATAATGTTTTATTAAGGAAGCTGCTGCTATTTTAATGACATAAGCCACACTAGTAATTGTGTATACTGGGCCTGAAACTAACTTTGTGCCAATGACCATCCATGAAACAGAGATGAAACCTTATAAAAGTAAGAAAAGTTGAAAGCAGTGAAAGATATTTAGTTGTTTTATTTACATTGAACTGTCATGAAACGCCCCTGATTTATCACGGTCGTTCAGCTGTTGGAAAAAGACTAACAAAGTGTAAAGTTGTGGAAAAGTGCGAGTGTACAGGGTGGGAATGTGGAGACAACCAATAAAACATACACCTGCAACACACTCATTATACAGACTTATAGAGTTAAAGGTTCAAATCTAACCCTATAAAACAGACTTGCCAAACGTGGAAGAACGTTTAAAAGGTCCGAGTCTTTGCTTCTCCTTCTGGATCTGGAGACCGACAGCGGCTCGTTCTTCTCCGAACGCTGGACTGATCTCAGTGCTAAAGGATGCTAACCGCCAGTAAACATTCCTCCGCCGACACGACTCGCCAACAAGTCCAACAAAAATACCACAGAATTGTAAAAACGTGTTGTGTCTTATCAGCTCATCTCGAGTCTCAGACGATCTAAAGAGCTTTTCAAGTCGCCTTCAGCAATAACACGATTCTGAATTCCCCGTGACTTATGTAGTTTCCCTCATGACTTCAGATTTGGACGGAGGTGCAGCGAGTATTAATGAGAGCGCTGAAATAACACCGGGAGATTTTATTTGGCTTCGCTTCTTTGTTGGACTTTATACAGCGTTTACCTCCAGCACCACGACTAATAGAAGAGAGAAACAGCCAAGACTCGCGCTTGCAACAACAACTAACCATTCATTTCAGCTTATTACAGATCCAGGGTGTGTCTTTGTATCGAACATATTTCCGACTTGTGCATTCATGCATTTTTCTAGTGGATTTTAATGGGAATAGCATGACACGTACAGCCTTTTCCAACGCAGGTCACTCCAGAAATGTGTTCAGGTGACTTTATGAGTCTCAGTTCTGGAAATATAAACTGCAGGAGAATAACAGTTTCCCTTCATGTTGCATGAGTCAAAATGCTCATGCTTAGTTTTATTTGCTCTGATGTGGCCGGGTTTCTCTCTGGTCCTGTAGGATTAAAATCCGCACTGCAAAAAAATACCTTTCTTACTTTGACTTTTTGTGTTTTGTTTCCAGCTCAAATATCTTAAAAAATGGCATACAATATCGTCTTGTTTTCTGAAAATAATAAAAGAATAAAATAAAATAAGTGAGTTTTAGCATAAAACAAGCAAAATAATATTGTTTCTGTTTGAATGAACATTATTTTTCTGACCGCATTGGCTTCAACTCACTTCATTTCCACAGAAAACAACATAACGTCTTATGGCATTTTACTCATCTAGTGAATGAATCTTGAGATATTTGGACTGGAAACAAGACAAAAGTCCTGAGTAATAAAGCATTTAGTTTTCAGTCGAGTCACTTGCCCTGTAGTGTTTAGTTTGCTGTGGTATTGTCCTGATCCCGGGTCAGTCAAAGGTTAGCGCAGGAGCCGGGCTGTCCGGGACGGTCGGTTCTCTCAGACACAGGCGAGTCTCAACACTTTCAACATAATGACCACTTTACTGAGTTTGGGGGTCTGTAACTGATGCATCAGATAATAGTTTCAGGCTGACGACACTAATCGAGTGTGTGATGTGTAATCATACGCTTCCTCTTCTTGTTCTTCAGTGACTTTATTTCCAGATGAGTCGCTTGTGGTCAAGTCACCTTTTTTAAAACACAGATTGTTTCAAAGCAGCTTTATAGAGATAACAGGGAAATAATGCAACACAATCATGTTCCTCATTTGTAAGTGGCTTTGCACTGAATGAATGCATGTAAATCCGTGTCTGAGCACGAAGACAAACGACGGCCGTGGTTTAGTAAGTCCATAATCTGCCCTTAAGCGGAGGATAAGTATAAGACAAATGAGACGTGAGACGAGCATTAGCTGGAAACGTCTCTCGGGTCACGGAGTCGGCGGCTCTGGGGGAAACGGATGCTTTATTTCTCTGATTGAAAACAGCAGCATCTGCATAATATTAATATTAATATTCTGCTTAAAGGGTTAGTTCACCCCAAAATGAAAATTCTGTCAGTATTTACTCACCCTCATGTTGTTCCAACCCCGTAAGACCTTCGTTCATCTTCGCAACACAAATTAAGATATTTAAGATATTAAGATCGCTCCTGCATACAGTCCATAGGCTTCTTGAGGGAATGACTCGAAAAGTCATTAAAGACATCGTTAAAATAGTCCAAGTGACTACAGGGGCTCAATCTTAAGTTTATCAAACGACGAGAACACTTTTGTGCGCAAAAAAACAACAAAAATAACGACTTTATTTCAACTATTGGTTTATTTCTCCCTCTGCGCGAGTCAGGTTACTAGTTTAATAGCGTAAGCTTCTG